ACATAGACTATACTGATCATATAAATGATTTTGGTTCGAAAGTTGTCGGAGATAATTGAACTTTGTTCGGTGTTAAAATCACTTAAACATACATGAATTTAGGTACGGTTTTGTTATGATTTTTCTCATAAGACTCGAACGATTAACTCAAAAATGATCTATTCATCATGAATAGAGACTGAGGAGAGCAGTACCTCTCGAAACTCTCGACTGAATTTGGTGAATAAAGCGTGCTCCCTCGATTTGTGCTTGCCGTGCGATAAGCTTGTCTCGCCGTGCGATTGTACTCCTTTAGCCGTGCGATTGCTATGGACCTTAGGGAAAATTACCTAAGGAAAGTTGATGATTTGAGGAAGTTTATAGGATGAAGGTTTGCTGCTCGGTATTCTTAAGGGAAAGTGACGAAATTTTCCCTAAGTATACCCTTATATAGACGTACGGTTTTGAGGGATGATGACGGCACAATAACGTGGCCCTAACCTTACTCACCACTTGTTCGATGAATAGGAATGTTAAAATGACTAAGCAACCTCTAACCATGCCACGTTTCCATGCTAATTGTGGAGGAAATTTGATGTCCAAATGTTGAAGAAAGCTACGGCTAATGCACCATTTTAGAGCCAAACACTTAAAAACTCACGGCTAATTAGGGTTAAGTTGTGATTAATCATTAATTAATCACTTCCTTTATGTTTAATTGCTAATTAAACATAATACTTAATTACCAAAATTATTTCGGACGTAAACGGTACGGCGAAAATAGATTTCGGTAATCCCGACTGAACTTAATTAATTCCGAAAATATTAAACGATATCGTTACTATATCGGAATTAAACGTAATTTATACTGATAATATCTCGGGATATTACAATCCTCCCTCCTTACAAATTTCCGTCCTCGGAAATTCGAAACATGACTACTATACATGAACTATGTACATAGGATAAGGAAGTATGTACATCAAAACTGCAAATCTGGAAAACGAGCGCGAATGTCCGACTCTTCCTCCCAGGTAGCTCCGTGGCGATCCCACTGAATGCGCACGAGGGGGATATCTCGCTTCCGGAGCCGACGACCTGACGGTCTAGTACAGCTACCGGTCGCTCCTCGTACGACAAGTCTGGCTGAACCTGAATATCCGTGTGAGGGATGACATGATCGGGGTCGCACACGTA